TTCTATTCTATTTCATTATTTTGTTTTATTCTTGATATTTCTCTTCTCTTCTATATTCCAATATTCTGTTCTATTTCTATTCTGTTCTGTTCTGTTTCTATCCTATTCTGTTTTCTATTCTATTTCATTATTTTGTTTTATTCTTGATATTTCTCTTCTATTCTATATTCCAATATTCTGTTCTGTTCTATTCTATTTCTGTTTCTATTCTATTCTGTTTTCTATTCTATTTCATTATTCTGTTTTATTCTTGATATTTCTCTTCTATTCTATATCCCAATATTCTGTTCTGTTCTATTCTATTCTATTTCTGTTTCTATTCTATTCTGTTTTCTATTCTATTCTTATTCATTATTCTGTTTTATTCTTGATATTTCTCTTCTATTCTATATCCCAATATTCTGTTCTGTTCTATTCTATTCTATTTCTGTTTCTATTCTATTCTGTTTTCTATTCTATTCTTATTCATTATTCTGTTTTATTCTTGATATTTTCCATTCTATTCTTCTGTTTTATTCTATTCTATTTTCTATTCCTATTCTATTCTACCACAGGCCTCCCTTCCACCAGAGGGGGTCAACGAGGAGATTCCAAGTTGCAACACAAATCCTGAATTTCTGTTTCAGGATCCAGCAACAAACTCCAGTCTTGGAGCCTTGATTGATCCTCTATGTGGGTCCCTGGTGGGCTTCTAGGGGTGGCCTGGTCCCTAAAAGGCAGCTCCTGCCTAATAGACCAGTAGCTCCAGGCCTGGAGGGAGATCCCACGAATTGGGGAGGGGCACACCTCTTTCTTTTGCTTCCTCTGCTCCCTGAGCCCCTCTTTATCCCATGCCCACCATGTCGGACAGACCCCTCAAACACAGGCAGAAATCCAAGCGGTGCGCGCTCTGCGAGGCTGCCTTTCCCGGGGCTGCGGAGGGGGACCTGTGTCCACGCTGCTCCCTGCAGCCACTTAGCCCCCCCAGCTCGGCGTCAGGGGGCTTAGAGTCCCAATGGCGGGACCCCAGGGCCCCTTCCCCCTCCGCCAGCTCCGGGGAGGACCCCAAAGATCCAGATGTGGAGGAAGAGAAGGAGGAACCAGAGAGCCGGAAAGTGGACTGGGTAAGTTTGAGCTGTCAAACTCTTTTTTTTAATTTTTATTTTTTTTAGCCTATGGCCTTGGTTCAAATCTCGTCTGCAAGATGTCATTGTGTTTTAATTTTTTTAGTTTTTCCTTTTGAACCCAGAAACAGGCCGTTAATGCAAAGCTGAAAAAAGCTGAGCTCTGGAAATCTATGGAGATTCTCCGTCATCCAAGTCAGGATTGTCCCAAAGGGGCATTTTTAAGAGGCAACTAGACTTTCTGGTTTTTCATTTGAAGATGTTTCGCTTTTCCTCCAAGATGCTTCTTCAGCTCTGAGTGGATGGTGGGGAAGGGAAGGATTGATCCTCCTTGCAGACAGCTGGTCATTTGCATCCTTTGAGAGGGTCGTTGAGGCCACTTGGAGGTTTTATCTGTGTCCTGAGAGTCACCCGAGTGGTGCAAATGGGTGCGGAGCCTTCTTGGAACTGCTGAAAAGACCGTGTTGTAGAGTGGAGGTTAGGGTTAGGGTTAGGGTGATGTCATATGCCCCCACACACACAATTGAGACAGGGCTGATCAATTTTGACATAAATGGTCTCTTGGATTCCTCTTTCAAACCAGCGCTCCTCTCCAAAACTCCAAAACTCTCCAATGGACTTTGCAGTCTTCAAAAGAGCAGCTTAAGTTGTCTTTTAAATGCAGATGGACTGCTGAATCGGTTCCACCACAAAACCGCGGACAACAAAATCGCGGTCGACGAAAGCACGTATGTGACGTCATCACAGCACGACGAAAAAGATCGAAAAAT